TGAATGTCTGGTAACCTGGTTAACCAATCGACAGGCTAACACAAGCGCGCCCATCGCCGCGCTCGGCGTAGCGGCAAACTGTGATCCTCTTGCCGTCTCCCCGTCGACAGGAAGCAGCAAAAGGACAAATGAAAGTACAAATGCCCTCCCCCGGGCGCCGAATAGCCCCCGTTTCAAAAAACTTTAATTAGAATCACATTATGGCGTCACAAGTTTCCGCAAATTTCTGTTTAGATGGCTCAACACGACAATGGGATGCAGCGAAGGTGCAAATGTCCCCTCCCTCTCCCGCCCCCCTCCCAACCCGCCGCCGAACTGCGCCAAGAGAAAACAACTAGACAAGACCGGGAATAAGGGCGTGCACTGGAAATTAGTTGTACACGGCACTCAGTGGTTAGAAAGAAACTATATCACGAAGCGTAAAAAAAACTCACTCCATTGCAGTTAGCCATCTTCCGAAGTAAGTGACATTTAGCTGTGTCACGAGTTAATTTGCTATTATGAGTGAAATTCAGAACCTGAAAGCCAAGGAGTGAAATCAAATTTGAGCATTACTGACTTGGAAATACTTACTCGAAAGTCATTGTTCAGTGCATGGCCGACAACAACACGGTCCTTCAGAATTTTAGCCACTTCCATTTGAACGACACCAAACGGCAAGCCTAGGGTAGCATTAGCATGGATTGGAAGGGAGAATGGCAAACAAATTTGCAGACTTACCTTTTGCAATGTTTTCTGGTCGAATACCGCTTACACTTGTACGAAAATCTGTAACCCGTTCTCTCGGTTTAACATATTTGTCGTATACAATCTTTCCTTCCTTAAAATAAAATATACAAAAAGAATTAAAAAATACGTAAAAATTGGATGCAATATTAGGTACAGTACAGTCTCTAAACTAGTCGAGCACGTAAACTAGAGGGATAGCGCCACAGAACATCATTCGAAACTCTGCAGGAACTAACGAAGACGAAAGAAAGAAAATATCAGGATAATGATGACTCTAAGACTCTTTAACACCCCCATAAAGATATCGAATATTGGCAGTAGCTGATTGGCCGGAATATGCTATTATTCCTGTTCCCATCAGATTTCGGGACACACAGTTGAATTTCCGCAACAAACCTTTCAACCTACCGAAAGAACACGATCGACCCCTCCCCGTCGACGGTTGGTTCATCCAAAACTGACCTTGTATAGTAATAACCTACAGTAATTGGACTGGAGGGCGCTATAAAGCAGTCAGAGTTCCGGATTTACAAGTAAAAGATAAGGTGAAAAGGAGAGCAGCATTACTTGTGAGCACGAGCAGAGTCAACAAAATGGACACGCAGTTCGGATTTATGCCCGCCGCTTCAAAAAATAATGAACGGCCCTGCGTTAACTGTGAAGATAATGTTCGTAAGTGGGTGGTCCAACGGAGCAGATGACAGGACTTGAAATTACAACGGCTGCAGCACCCTCTTTCATTCGCCGTGGAATGGGGAAAGACGGAAAATCTCTGAGTCTGCGGACTGGACTAACTGGACAAGGGAAATCTAAAAATTGGTTGAGCGCGGGGTCTGCCTTTGAATCAAGGCTCAGGCCTATGGGAGAATGTCTCCTCAACGAAACACGGCTCGTACTGTGATCGTCTGCGATATCAGCCTGAGTCTTGTACTAAGCAGCCATCCGAGTACCATCTAATTTTATTGAGCGCTTTCTTTTGGGTCTAGAAGCAAATATGCAGCTCAGTTATTGCTAACCCATTCAGGAAAGTAAATATGAAGTTTACTGAGTGCAGTGTCAAACAAGACAGCTGGTTACAAGAAATCCTAGAATCCAGTGAACAACACTGCGCGTAAAATATTCAACACTTGAACCAGGAAAAACATCTGAGACTAAAGGAAGAAAATATACCTCGTTCACAATTGACACCCTGGCAAGGAGATCATCTCTGCCATCTGTTCCACCTCCAACGTATTCACAATCGAGAGCAATTATATGTGTGGCTTCACCTCTGAGATTACATTGTGAACGCACCAATCGCTGCTAAGGAACACAAAATTGGAAGAACTAACGGCTTCGGGCGTGAGATAACACAGGCCGTGCATGTCGCGATTAGCAGCTGGCTCAAGTCCATCTCTGTAAGCCCCTCCAAAGGCTTCTTGGAACCCCGTTCGGGGATTTGACTTTCTGCAACGTATATGCACAGCATGACAACAGTGAGCAAATTTGCAACGCTTACCACGGGAACTCCGCCAAAACCATGAACTTTATGGAGACCTGAGGTAGATCAGATAGATCTATAAATTTTACAAATTATAACGATAGCAAGAAACCGCAACCTGTCCTTCACATGCAATTATGAGCAGGTGACGTTATGTATGGTGCAGTAGGTGCTTGCCCGGAGACTTGTGGTGAGCTGTGAAACCATAAGCAAGGCAATCGCACAAAGTCGACAGTTCGAATATGTGGTGGTTCAGTGGTAAAGTTCGACGTTCGACGACTCGATTCGACGTATGCGATTCCTCGCTTATGCTTCACAGCTCACCACTAAGCCTCCGCCCTACTGCACCATTACAAACTTTACCTGCTCATAAGTTGATTGATTGAAATGCAGGTTGCAGTTTTGCTATCTATATTTGTAGATAACTGTTATAGACTATCGATTCTACACCAGTTTTCCATTCAAACGTTCCATGTTAAGTTGGCGACGAAACGTCCCTGGTCAGTCGTATCAACAAGCAGCAATCGTTTACTGATTCAATGGACACTAATAATGAGTGAGAAAAAGGAATTGATCCACTTCAATTCGGAATAGTTGTCGGTTCCACTGGCACATATGAGAATTACGAATGACATTTTAGGAACATTAAGGTTGGGGAAGAAATCTCTCGCCGCCTCAAAAATTAGTTTGCTTTTTCAGAGATGGTACGCGTTAAGGCCAATCGTAACTTGCCAGGCTTTACTTTCGAAAGCTGCGGTCTACAAGATATTGACATTTGCTCCCATACCTGGATTTCGAGAGAAATCAAGGCTTCCGAAAAGGAGAAAGTAGGCAGCTAAAAAAACAAGCTTTGACGCCTTTTTACATAAGTGTACCGAATAATGACGCGCCAGAAAAGCACCAACACGCAAAAGACCACTGACAGAAAATCGGGAAAGAAAGAACCGAAATTGCTTGGGACGTTTGCGCCGTGCATGAGGAGGAAGTTATGGATGGGAGGATAGCTCGATATAGATTGTCGAGTTTATGAATGGAATCTTTGACATGGGCGACGTGTCTCCCTCGGGCTGTGATTTGCTGATTGTGAAGTTCTAGTGTGCTGGAAAATGCCTGGGAGAACAAGGTTGTCAGCAATTTTTTGATACAGCCTAGATTTTCCGAGCAAACGAGGCCATTCAGCCCGAAAGACTAAGAGTAGCCGTTCTGCTCCATGAAAGTGCCTACTCACACCGCACACTTAGTAAGGGTCGTTCTCGAGGAACTTGGAAAATCAGCACCTCACACCATACTCTTCGGAACTTGCGTCAATAGCACCTTAGGACAGGCGCTATGCGCTTATCACTCACTGACG